TACATAGTAAACATTTTTTTATCGTCATTTAAAAAAAAAAAAAAATTGAAATTTTCAAACTGTTCTACATAAATCAAAATATTTTGAAAATTTTGGGCTGTATAGAAAATGGTAATATTTATTGAAAATGTCATGTGTCAATGGTAATGTTTTTTTAGAATTACAAAAAAAAAAACAAAAATCGGTTTTGTGTCAAAATTTCTGCATTTTCCTCATTTTTTCTTTGTTTTCTTTTATTTTTCTCATCGCTTTCTAAATCTACTGAGAACTTAAAATACTGACCAACTAAATTCACTTCACCGCCGGAAAAGACACTAAAAATAAAAATCGAAGTATAATTTTGACCACGTATTATGTATTCACAAAAGAAACACGCATTTTAAAATCAATATACATTCATCGCTTTATTCAGTATTTAAAACGTATATCATATTTAATATCAWTTTATGTTTCTATTTAACTAATATTACTTAGGCTTTAAAATCGGAATTGAACACCCTCTCGTGGAATCACACAAACACACAAATAACGCGCCTATAGAATATATATACACGTGCGCATCAATTTTTTACGCGATTCAATAATATATTATATTATAATATTACTCGTATAGGTATACGATATAATACATAAAACCGATTGGAGTACCGTTTTCCGACGTGTGATCGATTGTGCAAAAAGTGTAAATGATTTATTGCCATTACGAGTATTTTTGTTGTTAAAACACAAAATATAGCTAGCTTTTTTTTACCATAACGCGTATAATAACGACTCTATCCGAATAAAAATGGCGTAAATACTAGGTGGAATCGTTGTTTAAAAATCTAACAGTTACAACCAACATTGTCAGTCGATGTCACGATTCAACATTRATTTTACTTAAATTTTGGTGAAATTATTATCATATTATTATTATATTGCATCATTATGAAAATGTACATATATGGAAAATATACTAAGAATTTTAACTTGCCTTTTTCATAACAGTGGCATAAGTAAAATTTTAGAGGGCCCTACAATTTTTAAAACAAACAAAAGATAACTATAATATTTAATGTTGAAATTTATTTCAAATACCATAATAATATTATATTCACATCTATTATTGTACTGTTAAATTTCTCATCTAATAAACAAAAAAAAAAAAGAAGAAAAATAATAGGAATTGTTGATTAGGTTGGGTATACGTCATTGATTTTGGTCCTGTGGCGTTTGCCGAACTTGCCCACCAGGCACCAAGTATTTACGCCACTAGTTCATAATATCATCCAGAAAACAAAGCTTGTATTGTTTTAATATCCCAGATTTTACATTAGTGTATAGAAAATAATATCTCTGAAGGTATATTATTATTGCAGTATTTATCCGGAAACATTTTTTTTACTGTTTAAAAAATATTGGTAGAGCGTCTTACAGCAGTGTATTTTGACTTTTTTGTGCTCGAAGCGTTTTTACCATCTGGATTACATTTATAAAATGTATTTKTTATATTAATATAACATTCTAGTCTCGGTTTTTCTTATAACTACATTGTTCTAAGACACCATATTGTGTTTAAAGTACGAGTCAAAGTCAGTAACATTTTATTTTCGCATCGCGAAGAGTTTTCCGAAAATATAGTTTATACAAAAATAACGAACACCAGTCAGAGCCAGTCACTATATAAAATGTTTTTCACAAAGTTTCACAAGTATTTACGTTATTTCTATCATTATATATGTTTGTTTTTATACCTATATTTTTACTTTTTTTGTTTTTGCATTGTTATAATATTACGTTATAATAATATAGTATCACAATTTGTTTCACTTTTTAACGGAAATGTTTGTGATATTATCTAAAAACGTTATTGTTACTCTATTATAATATATAGCATGATTCACTGAGCATGCTCGTTCACATTGTATCATTCAATAACGAAATTAATCAAATTCTGTTTGTGGAATGCTTAAGTACACTAATAATAGTTWAAGACCATGTTTTCAATTATTTAAATTCTGTATTGCATACAATAATGAGTATCCATAATAACTGATAACCATACCCACACGATTATTTTTATGAAATAAAAACCAATCATCTTTATTGAAAATGTATAAGTAAATATTTTTTTTTTTTTGAAAATATTGGTGTATTTAAATCAATATTCAAATGAGTACTTTCTGAGTTATTATAATAATTTTATGATTTTATTGCATAAATATAAATATAAACTATATTAAGGATAATATAGCCCTTACAAATGGTTTCACATAAACATAAAATATGATGTATAATATTCGTATTTATTATACTCTGACYATTTTTACAAAATATTATAGAATTTTGATAGATTAATATTAATTACTTTAATTTGAAAATCATCAGTTCAGCCTCCTTGTCATAAAATCCTATTAGAAACTATGAGACCTATTATTTATTCATAGCGCACAAATTTAAATAACTCAAAAATTACTCGTCATGATTTCGTGTTATAAACATTCACATAACAACTTACTAGAAAAAATATGATTCTAATTTAAAAAAGTGTATATCGCCACAGGACGCTTCTTAAATGATAAAAATTTAAATATTTAAAACTATGTTTACACAATATGTATTTATTTCTGGAAATTCTAAACATCAGTACTTAAATAAATTCATTGTTCAATGAAAAAATGTGGATGAGTATGCTTCGTAAATCATTGTGTAAATTTATATATTTGTGTGTATGCATTGACACTGATATACGAAACGCAATAGCATCAAGTAATATGTGTCAAATAATAATAAATTGTAATTTGAGCTGTTACRAGATTGAAATAATATTGACTTGGCGTCATAAAACGTGAATGTGAATCTATACTCACCCGCAGATTGAGTGTATGCATAAAACAAATACACCCTAATTAAATTCCAATTCGTAGCTTTATACATATATATATATATATATAATACAATATACGTTTACGTTTATTTTATGCTAGCGCTGTACCTTCATCAACATATCCTCGTATTTTGTATTTCGCTGTTTGGAGAAATGTACATTAAATGTAAGTGCGTTCACAAAAATAAAAATAAAATAAAATCGCGGTTGACACAAAATCGAATAGTGTTGTAAATTACGGCATTCCAACATTTTCCAAACGACTGCAGTGATTTTGGTTTGACATTTTTGAACACAAACTATAGTACAACGTACGATGCAAATTGTATTGGAGAAATATTCAATATCTTACATAAAAACATCCAAACTCGAAATATTCAATGTCTAAAAAATCTAGAATCGAGTAATCAACATATAAAGAAAAATATCTAGATAAAAACAAATAAGAAGAGTATATTATTTTTAACTAAATAAATTGTAACATTTACATTATTTTAATAAACTATAAATATGTAGCTGTCCCATCCGTCCTTGCCCAGAAAAAAATTGTGACAATTCAAACTGATATTATAGCAATTAAATATTACCTTATAAATTCTAAAATATGTGTTTTAAAAAAAACCAACTTAAATGACAACTAAAAAAAAAGTCATGGAGACAGTAAATCACAGAGTAAAGCGTAAGAGACAATTAGCGTTTCTAATTATATATCATAATAAAAAACTATTTTACTTTATTACACACCATACTAATTAGACTATAATTAATTKTATTTATATTTAATAGTGTAAATATCGTAAATATCAATTCAACTATGCAGAATTATTTTTTATAAATTTCTTAGAGTTTATGTTTTATATAAAAGAATTACTTTTAATTTATGGGCCCTAATATTATATATTATATATATCAAAACACTATTAAAATGCAGAAAAAACTCGAATATTTTAACTTCACTCTAAAATCTAATTTATTTCTTATATTTCGATTAATTGATGGGTACACAAATGCTATTGGCTTCCAAAATCTGATAGTCTTGATTATAAAGAGTAACTTTTTTTTGTTTTTGTCAGAAAATAACATGTCTATTAGTCATAAGCAGCTTTCCCATTTTTCAGGAGAAAATTTAAAAAATTAAAATTGCCATATTATATTCATATTACGTATATCTATATCAAATACCTAATCAATCTAAAAGAAAAGAAATAATGAAGATTAACTCGTGRTTTTTGTAAACAAATTTAAAAAACCCTGGTTACTGACACCAAAAAAAAGAAGCAAAGTATCATGTCTAAGTCYTATAGTCCTCAAAGTGCTTGATTCATTTTACCTAAAAAATTATTCAGCCGCTATTTTTTGGCATTCCTGTAAATAAATATCGAATGTCYGAAATATCAAAATATCTTATTTTTATATGGCCTGAGGAATGTGGTTGTATGTTCAAAACCTCATAATTTTCGCTACCTATCCTGCAGGTATAGCATACACCATGTCGAAATTATCCCGTTTTTCCTTTTACAATTTTGATAATCATGTATTTATCGTATAATATTATTATCAGACCTTAACTTTGCGACTTCTGAGTGTGCAGATATTTACCCTATGTCATTTGGTCGTACAATATAGGTAGCCCGTCGTTTAAACGTGGATATTAAAAAATGCATAGTATTCACAGATTCTATATTATAACTAAATAAGTAACTTCGGACTTTAATTGAAGACGAATTCCGCCATTTTCTTGGTTGGCAAATAGCATGCTATGTCATAAAATGTATTCATGGTAAATATTAATTGATGTTGTATTGTATTTTATTTTTTCTAGACTCATCGTTTGTAATAAAAAAAAAAAAAACTTATATAGGTAATTTTATCATTATTATAATATTTCACCTTTAAAAAATTATATAGTTTCATTTATTCCTTGTACATTTTGTGTATGCCAACCAAAGTTTTTCTAACCGACAAAATGGCGTCAGTCCCCGTGCGAKCTTCCCTGATAACAATGTAAATAATATAAGGGTACCTTATCTATAGTTAAAAAGAAAGAAAKAAGTCTGTGATAGTATTAGGTACATAATATTTATWACATATTTCTTACGAATCGCAATGTATATTTTTGATCGTRTTTTTGCAGATGCACCGGGCTGCAAGACCGACCGGGTGATGGTGATTGGTGCGTCCCGGGGCGAAAGCATGGACGTTCCATGCGAGGTGGACGCTGACCCACCAGCCAAGGGTTTCCGATGGAAGTTYAACAACTCGGGTGAGACGATCGACATCGGACCAGAACGTTACATATCCAACGGCACGGCCAGTGTACTCAGGTACACACCTGTCGCCGACCTAGACTACGGTACACTATCGTGTTGGGCAACAAATGGGGTCGGTCAACAGTCCGTGCCCTGCCTATTTCAAATGGTGGCCGCCGGTAAGCACTAATATTATATTTTATATGTCTTGAAATATTGTATTTATATTATTGTATTTGACTTTGTCTACTATAAGGATAGGCAATAGCCAAAAGGTTTATGATATTGTGATCGGACCTCAAGAGATGTATTAAAGTTTATTATAATTACAAAAATTCTAGTAACTTATACTAATCTATCAATATTGATAATGGTCAAAGTTTAATAAATACTTGACCCGAAAATTCATCTGTTTTATATTTTTGTAATACCACATTTATAAATGCTATTAACCTTGGTATAAATGTTTTAATAAATATAATTTATGAAAATATATACAGTGGAACTTCTAAATGCCCGTAATTTTGTCCAATATTTAGAGGTGTCCGCTACTCAGAGGGGAGAGGGTAAATTCTCAAAAATAACTCGGATAAATTAATAATTACATATTTACAATATTTATTATTTATATAATATATTTTTTTTTTTTTTTTTAAAGTAGCGTCTATTGAAAATTTACAATCTATACAATTTTTGTACAATGAGTAAATTGGATGGAAGGATGACAATGATGGGGCAGTGGAGAGAAACTCACAGTTGAGCTACCTTTTAATGAGTCTTAAATCTAGTTAGATAAATAAAATAGAATTTTAGATAAGGTCTCTGGGCCACTTTCTGTTTAGTCGGCGGGTAGGGTTGCCGGGAAGGTGTTTTGAGCGAAGATTGGATATTAAATTGTTTGGGTGGCCTTGCATTTTGCAGTGAAGTCTTGAGTAGAATGACGTTGCTATTTGGTTGATGGATTGGACTTTAAGATCTTGATGTAAAGCAGTATTAGTGACATACCAAGGTGCTTTTGTGACCATGCGAAGACATATTGATTGGAAAGCTTGGATTGTCCGGAGGTTTGCTGGTTTAGCAGTGCCCCAGAGGGCGATACCGTATATGACCATATTGGTTGAAGGAGGCTTTTGTATAAAAGTAAACGGTAGGACAGGTTCATGTTTGATTTGAGGAGAGGTCTGATGGCGTGTAGGCGGGAGTTGAGCTGTTTCCTTTTGTTTTTGAGGAAATATAATATTTATAATCTATAATATTTMTATATTTATATTATTTTAATGCGAATATTAATAATTGTACATAATATTATTATTTAAAACTATAGCTGAACCCGTGCACTTCGTAGCCCGTTAAAAATTCTAATTCTTATATATGTCTCAAACTAAGTGTTAAATTCGTTTCCTGTGATTTTTCTAGCAGTATACTTTTAATAATATTTAATAATAGATAGATAACGGTTAAAATATACTAAGTATAATAGTCTTACGACGATATTCAATTTAGTTTATCAATATGTAATTTTTTTATCGAGAACAGTCTGGCATTTCAAATATTCGATTGAATGATATTTGAACCTATCACATTTAATTTAGCCTATATTCTTCCCATAATTATTATGTCTAATATATCTCTGTACCAATAATTTGATCGCAATCGGTYCAACCGTTTAGGAATGCATAAAGGACAAAYAGACAGAAATCCATTTTTATATATATTTCTGAAGCTTGTATTGCTGTTCTCTTCATATTTTGATCTATGGGGGAATAGGGATTTATTTTTATATATAGTGGTTATATGAAAAAATCAGTTACTTTGGCTTGTTTAGACCTTGATGCATAGCAATTTCAWGTATCAAGGCATTTTATAATTCAACTCCRTTGGAGACAATACGTTCGTATGTAATGGAATCACAACACAATTAAATACGAGTAGGATACTTCACAGAAAATAAACTAGAAAAATGTCTTCATCGACGCGATAATGGACAGATAAGATAAACTCAAAACTATAATATAGATGATAGATAGATATTTATTAAGGCATTCGGCGATTATTCTATATTTACGATAAAAATTGTTAAAATCAAAACGAAATTGCATATAAGTGTCCGTTATTTAGATTGTCTGGTATTTAAAGGTATTCCTGTATAAAAACATTGAAAATGTCTCCGTTCCCGAAAAAATTTCCGCTACTTAAAAGTGTTTGTCATTTAGAGGTGTCTGTTAAGAGAGGTTTCACTGGTATAAATATATAATTTATTTATATAATAATAGCCTGCGAGACATCGAATTGATTGCTATTTAAAATATATATATATATATATATATTTATATACAGGGTGATTCTTTTAAGTGGGTACACTAATTATCTCGAAAAGTAATCACTTTTTCAAAAATATTTTTTTTACATGGTTTCAAGTTGTTAAAAAAACCAACGTTTTTATTAAAAAATTATATTTTTAAATGTTTTTATCCTTATCGTTTTTTAAGTGTTTTACTTTTTTGAATGACAATATAGAGTTTTAATTTCATATTTCAAAGCAGAATATTTTTCTAAGTATTTTGATTCATAAAAAACGAATTTAGGGCTAATAATTTTTGAKTTATTAGTATTTAAAGTTTAGATTGGCAGAGGGGARTRGTACGGGGTTACCCCTCAAAATGTTTGTCCACTACTCCACTTGTCTAAACTTAAAATACATATAACTCATAAACTACTCGTCCTAAATTCGATTTTTATGAATCAAAATACTTAGAAAAATATTCTGCTTTGGAATATGAAATTAAAACTTTATGTTGTCATTCAAAAAAGTAAAAAACTTAAAAGGGTAAAAAATATAATTTTTTAATAAAAATGTTGGATTTTTAACAACTTTAAGCCATGTAAAAAAATATTTTGAAAAAAGTAAATACTTTTCAAGATAATTAGTGTACCCACTTAAAAGAATCACTCTCTATAATACAKACAGCACCATATACACCAACATCGCTGTTTTGAACGGAACACGTTAGAGTAACAGAGTTATCTTTAATTACAATATTATTTTCTCTTAACTTTTTTTGAGTTTCGTTTGGAGGAAAGTATTTTTACTCAGATTTGAATTAATTTTTATACCTACCTGCCCACTTTTTATTACATATTATTATAGAAATATGCTATAGCGTTACGTTTACGGWAGGCATAATATGCGTGAAGTCACGCAACTACCGCGTTTAGAACATTTAGGCAAAAATATAATCCAAATGTAATAGGTATAGGTACATCTAGACAAAAAAAAAAACAAATTTCTATAGATTATAGTAATACAGTAGTGATATATAGTTGTTGAATACTGTACAGAAAAATATTCAGCAGTTTGTTTTTGTTTTTATTTACGTCAGTAAAATCGTTCGAGTTTTCTTAATGAAAAATAAATGGGAAAAAGTAAAATATTAATAACAAAAGTTTGTAATGTACGGCAAGGAACACGAATCGATTAAAAACACCGACAAAATAATTTAACTCGTTTTTCTCTACCCAATATATTTAAAAAAAAACATTTTGTTTCCGTTATAATTACTAAGCTTTTGTCGAAAAAAATGGTTTTCACCTACAACCATGTGCATCGTGTTTTTATTATTGTTTTATTTTGTTCGAATCGATATTATACAAGTGATGCCTTGTGTTATTATTACTAAAATGATATCATCAGCAATATCATGTAGCACGCGATGTGGGCGTGTGATTATTATATACCGTGACAAAACCTCAATGGTTACAAAATATAATATTGAGTAATAGTGTATATATMAAGGCCTGCGGTCTACCCTAATTGTTTCGATAAAACACGACATCTACTCAAATATTTTAAGTAAAATACATGATTGTCTATAGCCTTTATGTGAATATATACTTTTAATAATAAAAATGTAYAATACTGTAAATGGTATTGACATGTTATATAGTATTACAGATGGTACTTTTAATAATACATAACAACTATAT